TTAACCACCACCGTTGAGAGGGAGATCGTGAGGGATGTCAAGGAGAAGCTTTCCTAAATCGCCCTTGACTTCGAGCAGGGGGAGCAGTATCCACGAGACTCCTACAACTCCAGCATGAAGCAACTCCAGCATGAAGCGCGTTCACATCGTGAGGGACCTACACGCTATCAGTCAAATTTTCCATAAATAAAGCTAACTCTGCCTTCTGGTCATTTGACAAGCTGTGGTGCCAGGGATCAGAGAGGAGTCAGATAACTGAGAAGAGAAAGAGTCCACCGTGCCTTTTCCGACTCACTAGTAGTATCAGTGCTCCTGTACAACTGCTGCTGTTGGGCCGTACCTCAGCATGTTCTAGAGTCTGTAGATGTTGTTCAGAGGAAGCACCTCAAGCGCATTCTACACATCTATTGGCCTAGCTCAATATCTAACAAGGTCCTCTACGCTCTTACCCAGACCAGGCCCCTTTCCCAGTTATCTGACTCCTCTCTGACCCCTGGCACCACAGCTTGTCAAATGACCATCCATTCAAACTCCTTCTTCATTACTACAGATATGAGCATGCTCTGTGCCCAAACTAGGTCGGCACAGCTCCTGCCTGCTTTGTAGACAGCTTGGAACGGTCCGGTGAAGTTGTCCACAGCTCTCTCTATTCTGTTTAGCACTATCAGTGACAGGATCTTTCTAGAAACATTCAGCAAGGTCAATGGTCGTATCGCCTTAACTGGGTCACGAGTTTTACCAGGCTTAGCCAGTGGTGTGAGGATGCCTGCTCCTATTGCTTCAATGTGAATGTGTTCTCCTTTTTAGTTTAATAATAAACTGTAGATTTTATTATTGCTTTCTTTTGAATAGATTTTTTCTTTTATAGATACTCAACCAGATCTCCAAACTTTGGATGACATTCATAAATGAATAACGAAATAAAGAAATGAAATTAATAACGAAATTATGATTAAAAACTATGTGAAACAAACAATAAACGTTCTGAACAGATTTTGAAAATGAGTTGGTTGCTATAAACTCGAGAGACTGTGGGATACTGAAGGGAAAGGAAGCAGTTCTAACGAGCTCTTCTCAAACACAAGGATATATCTTGTGAATTCGGCTAGTATATATGAAACATTTGTCATGGAGTTGTAGAGGGAGTTATGTGCCTCGCCGGGCTAAAGTAGTGGATGACCTTGCTGTACGGCAAGTTAAACAAGGATCTGAAACTACTAGGTTCCGTACAGACTCAACTCTGCACCCGTGTCAATATGTTCAATATATGCAAGCCTCTTGATTTATAATCACCGAGTCTAGTAATTGTTTAAGAGAGTTCTCTGGCAGTTACGAAACTCGAGAGACTGTGGGATACTGAAGGGAAAGGAAGCAGTTCTAACGAGCTCTTCTCAAACACAAGGATATATCTTGTGAATTCGGCTAGTATATATGAAACATTTGTCATGGAGTTGTAGAGGGAGTTATGTGCCTCGCCGGGCTAAAGTAGTGGATGACCTTGCTGTACGGCAAGTTAAACAAGGATCTGAAACTACTAGGTTCCGTACAGACTCAACTCTGCACCCGTGTCAATATGTTCAATATATGCAAGCCTCTTGATTTATAATCACCGAGTCTAGTAATTGTTTAAGAGAGTTCTCTGGCAGTTACGAAACTCGAGAGACTGTGGGATACTGAAGGGAAAGGAAGCAGTTCTAACGAGCTCTTCTCAAACACAAGGATATATCTTGTGAATTCGGCTAGTATATATGAAACATTTGTCATGGAGTTGTAGAGGGAGTTATGTGCCTCGCCGGGCTAAAGTAGTGGATGACCTTGCTGTACGGCAAGTTAAACAAGGATCTGAAACTACTAGGTTCCGTACAGACTCAACTCTGCACCCGTGTCAATATGTTCAATATATGCAAGCCTCTTGATTTATAATCACCGAGTCTAGTAATTGTTTAAGAGAGTTCTCTGGCAGTTACGAAACTCGAGAGACTGTGGGATACTGAAGGGAAAGGAAGCAGTTCTAACGAGCTCTTCTCAAACACAAGGATATATCTTGTGAATTCGGCTAGTATATATGAAACATTTGTCATGGAGTTGTAGAGGGAGTTATGTGCCTCGCCGGGCTAAAGTAGTGGATGACCTTGCTGTACGGCAAGTTAAACAAGGATCTGAAACTACTAGGTTCCGTACAGACTCAACTCTGCACCCGTGTCAATAGTGAATAATGATTAACAATACTGTTATATATAAATCAAATCTTCAGAGTTGCTTTCCTATTGGATAACCCTGGTGTATGGTGACTAGCAACTCTGTACTGCAGCTAAAGACTACAGATCTAACTACACATTTATTCACGCAGCAATTTCTTATTGCTAGTAGTGACACCGCTACCAGTGGTGTAGTTATTTGGTTTGATGAAAAGGGTACAAAGTGAGTGCTCTCACTAAAGAAAAATCCTGCTAGAAGAGAACTCTCTTCAAACAGTTATAAATAACAATAAAATGGTGAAAGAGACTAGTTTTGGACTGGTACATCCCATTTAAAATAAAAATAACGATAAATAGTATTGATTATGAATGAAATCAAACCAAGCATGAATATAATGAAATCAATTATGAAATGAATAAAGAAACAAATAAATGAAATTAATAACGAAATGATGATTAAAAACTTTATGAAGCAAACAATAAACGTTTTGAACAACTTTTTAAAATGAGTGAAATCTCGAATAATGATAATATGAAAGAAACAACTACCAATATCAATCTATATTCTGTTTCCAAGTGAATAATGATTAACAATACTGTTATATATAAATCAAATCTTCAGAGTTGCTTTCCTATTGGACAACCCTGGTGTATGGTGACTAGCAACTCTGTACTGTAACTAAAGACTACAGATCTAACTACACATTTATTCATGCAGCAATTTCGTATTGCTAGTAGCGGCACCACTACCAGTGAGTGTAGTTATTTGGTTTGATGAAAAGGGTACAAAGTGAGTGCTCTCACTAAAGAAAAATCCTGCTAGAAGAGAACTCTCTTCAAACAATTATAAATAACAAAATAACGAAATGATGGTTAAAAACTGTGTAAAATAAAAACAACAACTGACTGATTATTGAAAATGTAAAACAAATAAGCATGGTTACTGATTAAAAAATAAAAAACGAGTGTGCTCAGTATTGCCAGCTCCGCAGATCTGTTCTAAAACGGTGAATGAGGTTAGTTTTGGACTGGTACACTCCATTTAAAATGAAAAATAACGATAAATAGTATTGATGAAGAATAAAATCAAATCAAGCATGAATATAATGAAATCAATTATGAAATGAATAAAGAAACAAATAAATGAAATTAATAACGAAATTATGATAAATTTCGTATTGCTAGTAGCGGCACCACTACCAGTTGGTGTAGTTATTTGGTTTGATGAAAAGGGTATAAAGTGAGTGCTCTCACTAAAGAAAAATCCTGCTAGAAGAGAACTATCTTCAAACAATTATAAATAACAACAAATGATTGATTATTGAAAATGTAAAACAAACACAGGCTAGCATGTCTAGTATACAGGTTAAACGAGCGTTTGGAGGTCTAATTCAGGAGTTCAAAATAACACATGTGATGGAGGACGTTACACCTGAAGTGGGAGTTCATCATTATTTTGAACACTTCATCAAGGGGCTTCTACATGCTGCTAGGAGGAAGTTTAGTTGTTTTAAATTTTACGTTACTTGTGAGGGTGTTTTTCAGGTAATAGTTTTTTAAGATTTAACTTTCTTTAGTAACTTCTTTGAATCTCGAAGTGTTAGCATAAATTGATAAACTTGCAAAAGAAAACCAAGTCGTTAGCGTACACTTAGAAGTCATCACTTTTGATTTATTTTAAGTTTAGTATAAAAAAATATAACTGAGTTAATTAACTTCAGAGAAGCGTTGAAGAGGAAGAAGTTGTTTATGGTTTTCTCACTAAAACAACTACATGCACCGAAGCGCTTAACATTGATGAACTCGTAGAAAGATCGAAAACAAAAATTTTAGAATCATTTTCAAGCTTCGAGAGTCAAGGTAAATTTATGAAATAATAAAAAACACGTTAGATTTATTTTTATTTTTTACATGAATACAATACAACTAAACATTGAAAGAGCAAAAATTCCATTGTTAGTTAGTTATTTTGCTTCTTCACCTCTATTTTGTTTTATAAATTAATTATCTGAGAAACTCTTTTTTAACAAGAATATTACGTAATATTAAACCAAAATTATCATAAATTTGTATTACAGGCTCTGGTTATATATTCAAACGATGGAATGGTGTTACGGTGAAAATTGTCAAGTACTCTCCCACGACACATTAGTAGTAACATAACAATTGTTACCAGAACTGTATTAGTTAGTGTTACATACTCATACATAGAGGTGAAACGGATGCATCCATACCCTTTTACCTTTACGCTACGAGGGTAGCTCAAAACATTTTGCTGTTTTTTTACCTAATCGAAATATTTTTATTTTACTCTACGTTTTCACATTCTCATGTTTTATTCTTAGTGTGTGATCAAATCAGAGATTCTATAATTATAATAGCACATAGTATATCATAACTTTTAAGTTTCAGTAAATATTTAAATAACGTATAAATTTCACAATGTGAGTATTTTAGTTCGCTATTAATTTCCCCTAAACCATGTTTTTACGTTTAATTCAACGATTATTAAATTGCGTTATTAATTGTTGACGTTTTGTTGTTGTTTTACCTAATTGAAATATTTTTTATTTACTCTACGCTTTCGTATTCTCATGTTTTATTCTAAGTGTGTGATCAAATTATAGACTCTATGATTATATTAGCACATTGTATATCATAACTTTTAAGTTCAAGTAAATCTTTAAAATAATATATAAATTTCATGAAGTGGGTATTTTAGTTCGCTATCAATTTTCACCAAAACTATGTTTTTACGTTTAATTCAATGATTATTAAAATTGCATTATTAATTGTTATCGTTACTGATTTAACAAATTATCTTTAATAGTTACATGATGTCGACAGGTAGTTACATCCCTTTACCGGACGTGTTGAAGAGACGCAGATGTCTACTCAATATACAAAACAATGACAATCTATGTTTTTTATACTGTATAGCAGCTAGCTATCGCATGCCGGAAAGGAACAGAACTCGCCCTACGTACTACAAACAGTTATTTAACCGGTTTAATATGAATGGTAAGTAAAGTAATGTGATATAACTATTTATCACAATTCTCTACAGTGTTTTAGCGATATTATCAAACTAAACTTATAATTTATAATTCACAAATTTTACAGGAGTTAACAAACCTGTACGAGTTGAAGACATCCCTCGATTCGAGAAACAGAACGGTAGCCACATGTCTTGATAATAATAATAAAAACTATATCAATATTTATGACTTATACTTAAAACTAAATTAATTATTTTTAAAGCTAATATGTTGTTTCAGATGTGAGTGTTAATGTTTTCAAATACGTCGAGAACGAACCTCCAACGTATATCCTACCTATTCACAAGTCGTCATATCGACATAAGAAGATTGTGAATCTGCTGTTGTTAACAGATGGTGAAAACAGTCATTATGTGTTAATCAAATCCATGGCAGCACTCCTAAAAGTCAAAACAGCATATGGTAAATCTGGACATGCCTGCGACCTATGCTTTCGTGTTTTCTATTCACTCATCACCTATATGAAACACATCGATTTCTGTAGGACAGGAGAACCGACTGTGGAGATGCCTGATGATCCTGTTCTAAAATTTAAAAACTTTAAATATAGAATGCCAAATCCGATAACAATATATGCTGATTTCGAGGCATATAACTGTAAGGTAAACGAGGAAATAACTGAGAGCACGAAACTTCTTTGTGAGCAAAAACCATCTGGTTTTGGTTACACTGTTGTATCGCCGTACACTCAGTTCTGTAAACCAACAGTTATCTACAGAGGTATTGACGCTGCAGATGTTTTTGTACATAAAATTCTCATGGAATGTTATGAAGTAGAATCAGTGTTAAGTGAGGTTAAACCGATGGAGTTTACAGAGGAAGACAGTGAGAATTTTTCTAACTCGGATAACTGCTCGATCTGTGAGGGTAGACTTAACTGGGAAACACAAAACATTTGTAGAGATCACTGCCATATCACAGGGAGGTTTAGAGGTGCAGCACACTCTTACTGTAACATCAAGATGCAACAACAGAAAAAGGTTGTTGTGTACTTTCACAATGCAAAAGGTTATGACAATCACTTCTTAATACAGAGTCTCGCAGCAAATCCTAAAATAGGGCAGATAGACGTGCTAGGACAAACAAGTGAAAAATACACGCGAATTTCAACCAGACATTTTGTTGTGCATGACTCGATGTCACATCTTGTAGGAAGTTTGGATAGCTTATGCTCTAGTCTTAGACAGCGTGGTGATTGTGGATTTCAACTCATCCGACAAGAGTTCCCGGAGGATGAAAAGTATCAGTGTGTTATACGTAAACTGGTTTACCCGTATGATTACATTGACAGTTTCGAAAAGTTTGCAGAGTCGATTCCGTGTAAAGAAGCTTTCTACAATAAGCTTAGCGAGGAGGAACTTTCTGACGACGAGTACGACCGTTTATTGCGGACTTGTGAAATCTTCAAAATCAAAACACTCGGTCAGCTTCATGATCTTTACCTACGAGTTGATGTATTGATATTGGCATGTGTTTTCGAGGATTATCGACGGTTAGGATTGGAAATGTTCGGGTTAGATCCTTGTTACTATGTGAGCAGCCCTAGCTATTCCTTTGATGCTATGCTCTGTACGACTAAAGTAGAACTCGAGCTGCTTACAGATAAAGAGATGTACAATTTCTTTGAAAAAGGTAAATGTTACACAAATTAAATTACAAGTCCCTTGAAAGTTTAAAATGAAAACATAAGTCGTGAGATAAAATCAAACCTTTTCTTGTTTTAGGGGTGAGGGGTGGATGTAGCTCAGTTTATAAGCGGTTAGCTACAGCCAACAACAAGGAAGCTGATTTTAACTATGATCCTCGCTGTGAAGAGTCTCGTATCTTTTATACGGTTAGTTTGAAAATATCTTTTTTCTAAGTAGTACACTTTCGTAGGTACAATACTTTCAAATTATGTGTTGATGTGGTATATATAAAAACGATGGCGGACATGAGCTATGGCTCATGTCCGCTTTCGAATCGATTTAAAAACGATGGCGGACATGAGCCACCATACATATCATTTTTAACATTTTTTTGTTTTCAGGATTGTAACAATCTTTACGGATTTGCAATGCTAGCAAAACTACCCCACTCACAGTTTCGATGGCTGTCCTCTGAAGAATTAGCTGACTTTGAGGTGGATGAATTCGATGCTCTGGGTGATTACGGTGTCGTTTTAGAGGTATGTTCAAATAATCGCGAATTAATTTGTATGCGTTAAATATATTGTTATTACTAGCGTAGTTATACTTATAATATATATTTTAAATTTTTTTTTTTTCAGGTTGATTTGGAATACCCTGATCATTTACACGATGCCCATCGTGATTTTCCTCTAGCTCCTGAGAATCTTACAATAACTCGAGAGATGTTGAGTGATGAAATGAAAGAGTTCCTTCGTGTTAACAATCTACCGTTCTCTAAACAGGAGAGACTCACTCAAACTCTATTGTCAAAAGAAGGGTATATTACCCACATTAGAAATCTTAAGCTGTACAAGAGTTTGGGTCTTACAGTGACAGCCATCAAAAGAGGTATAATTTTTTATCAAACACCTTGGATGGCTGAGTATATACAGATGAATACGATGCGAAGGATTAACTCCAGAAGCAAGTTCGAAAAAGATTTCTTTAAGTTACTGGTTAGTTTTTCTAACATCATCACAACTTCTTTATCTAATCTTAAAAAGTGTGATTAACCAATTTTGTAAAAGTGTGTATTTAACCTGAAACGTATTTTTAAGAAAACATACTTTTAACATTCTTAGATAAACTCGATTTTCGGGAAGACGTGTGAAAATGTACGTAGATACAGACACTTTAAGGTTGCTACCAACGTCAAGCAGCTTAAACGGTACACAAGTCGTGAAACTTTCAAGACAGTCACGATAATAACACCAAAGTTAGTGGTACTTGAATCAGAAAAAACATCAGTACTACTCAATAAACCTATATATGCAGGCATGGTAAGTACAAATTCACACTTATAATTTAAAACATTTGGAGAAATTTTTCAACCATACATTACAAATTTACTGAGTTCCTTATTTTGCTATACCCCCTCTTCACGTAACAAAATTTTTTTTTCTCTAGAAACTAACAGTTAATATTTCAGACTATTCTGGATCTTTCTAAAGAGCATATGTATCACTTCCATTTCAACGTGATGCGACCTCTTTTTCCAGATCGTATTGAAGTTTTATTCAGCGATACTGATAGTTTATGCTATTTCATCAAAGAAGGTGATATAGCCAATAAATTGTTAAGTATTGCTCGACTTTTAGATTTCTCGAACTACGACTCAAATCATCCTCTTTTCTCACTGAGGAATAAATGTGTACCCGGAAAGTAAGTAGTCTAATTTAGATCAATTATTTTGCTACTAGAATGTTTTAAAAACGCTTTATTCGTTCGTTGTGACAGTATTTTAAACTAATTATATCCCACTTATATATTTTTAAAAATCTAAACTCTAAAATGTTGAACCTAACGAATTCGGTATGACATATAAAATAAAATTCAGGTTCAAGGATGAAGTCGCAGGTGGTACTGCTATACAATTCTGTGGTCATAGGTAGGAAAAATTCTTTCCTTTAAACTTATGGTTCACCTAGTTGTAACATTTTTTTGAGGTAGTGATTTTAAAACATGTTTCATTAGAACTCACTGTTTCAGGGCGAAAAGTTATTCTCTGATTACAACTACTGAACGGAAGATGGCTGCTGCAGGTGTGAAAATATCGATGCAACGCTGTTTGAAACATGTAGATTTTGTTGAGGTAATTGCATCAGCCTCCTTAAAAACTGTTACTCAAAACACATTGGTATCAAGAAAACACCGTATGTTTATGCAAGAGAGCACAAGAATAGCTCTTAGTTATCTCGACATAAAAAGGATAGTATTACCTAACGGGATTGACACTGTTCCTTATGGTTATAACGGGGTTTATTTCTCTTGAAAAAGTATTTTGTTATATTATAACAGTTTTACATTTTTATTATTGTTTCCGAATTTTTGATACACTTGTTTTATTAATTAAAATAAGTGATAATTTTGGAGGAAGTTTTACAATATACCAATCAAGATTCAATGAACAATTTTGAGTTGTATTCTCGGTTTAATTTTTGATTTTGAATGTTTTTCGATGTAAATTTTTGTTGAATTTATTTTTATCTCTGTTGCAATCCGTTTTATCTTCTTTTATGTAATTTAAGGTTTTTATTTTTACAAAATAAAACTCAGAAATCGCTAAAAATTATTAAATGTAGTTACATTACAACTTTAAAGAAAATACATTTATCCTGATCTCATATTAGGTGAAAAAATAAAACTCAGAAATCGCTTAAAATTATTAAATGTAGTTACATTACAACTTTAAAGAAAATACATTTATCCCGATCTCATATTAGGTGAAAAAATAAAACTCAGAAATCGCTTAAAATTATTAAATGTAGTTACATTACAACTTTAAAGAAAATACATTTATCCCGATCTCATATTAGATAAAAAACTTTCAATTTTCAAACAATTAAGATTCCATAAAGGTTTTGATAGCAATAGATTTTTCTTTAGCGCAGTACCTTGTGTTATGTACCCTACAACACATGGGGTTTGGTAATTCACTTGGCATCTGATATCCTAAACTTTGAACATTAACAATGATAGTTGTTGGTAAGATATTTTGAAGTAATTTAAATGTAACACGACTGTAAGTGTATACTTGATACTCTTGATATCTCGTAAAAATTGTTTCTATGCTCTCGTAAGGAACATCTCCGTCGTGATAGGAAAGGCTGTTGAGGTTCTTCATTGCAAAGCGAATTGTTCTTTTATCAACATCACTCAAATCCCAATTCGTCGGAGGTTTTAGAATGTAGTGGTTGTACTCATCGTTAGGAAACAAACAACAGATTTCCTTAACTATTAAACCGCTAGGTAATCTGTATCCAGAGGTAGCAATGTAAACTTTCATATTTGCAACGTATGCAAAGTTGTAAATAGTAGAAATGATTTTGTCCATCTCCCTGCTGATTAAGTACCCTTTTTACGATTTTTATTCGGCTGTTGAGCTTTAAAACTTTCTGCGATAACAGATTGATTCATTACATTAACATAGCGACCGTAATAAATAGCTTGCGGTGAGCATGTTAGCAGGAAAGATCTACCAACAGTACAGTAAATAATCATATCCTTCTTGATATCGGGACTATGAGGTAGCTTTGATTCAAAGTTTTTATATAATGTTTGTAAAGAACCCAAAACTTCACCACGAGCTTTTTCAAAATGAATCTGTACTTTATCGAGGAGTGATAGTTGATGATGCAAGTGAAGTATGTCACTCTTCATATCATCTTTACACCCGGAACATTCTGTAGCTGTCAAAGACACGCATTTTCTTATAATGTTTTCAACAAGAAAACCAACCCAATCTACATTATCATAAAACGTCATTCTGCAAAAACCAAAAACTGTTTCTTTACTAATTTCACAAACAGAACAGAAAACGAAGTCGATGGAAATGATTCAATCACTCAGCATTGGTATTTATAGTATCAGTTTGAGGTAATCTTGAAAATCTGATATTGTGTAAAGCTAAGAAAATGTTTTTCATTAAGCTGCCTCCTCTTTCTTTTGAGTCATATGTAATTCCCGCAACTAACACAATTAAGATGATATACCAATAATTTACACCATTGTAATGAAAAACTTGCTCTGGATAAGTAGATGATTCTAGTTCATTCAAAATAGGTGACATGAAAAGAAGGTTAATGTAATCGAACTTGAAGACTTTTCCCTCAGATTGAACTTGTTTCATTGGTGCACCATCAACTTCAAACCCCTTCCAGGAAAAAGTAAATGTTGATTGATTTACTGTTTTAGAATAGTGAGAAAAGTTTGCTCCCTGCTCCATGTATAGAACTAGTGTGTTATTTGTTCTTGATAAATATGCATGTTGATTTTCACCTTCAAAATAGAAATAATCTTGTTGGGTATTAAGATTGAGAGGGAATTTAAACGCAAAGGTTAGAGATGCGATAACTTTGAATACCACTTGGAAATTCATGTCTTATTTCACGTTAGTATTTAATGCTTTTATAGCTTACACAGAGGCTCCATACCTGTTATATGCATCTCTAGCTAACTTAATGGAGTCTCTTATGATTGTGAAGAGGTTAATTACTTCACCTCTTTTGTTTTTGAGAATATTTTTAGCACTTGATTGTGAGGCTACCTGTAGTTGCTCAACAACACGACGTTGTTCATCTGTTACTTGATCGCGTTGTGGTTGGCAAATCGGTAAAATACCAAATGACAAACTCAAAAATAGATTTTGAAGTGTAGGTAGGTGTTTTTGAACCAACTCATCAATTTGATGATTTTTAACTAATTTCTGAATTTGAAAAATTTCCTCCATCGTCGTGCAGTTAAAGATTGTCTTTGTGAGATTACTCAAATCCTCATCATCATCTTTTACTGCTTGGAGTTGATCTGAGAGGAGTTTTATCTTTCTCTTACACTCTTGTTCGTAGTCCTCCATTACCTTATCATGTGCATCTCGTAAAGTTTGGATTGTTTTACCATGTGCATCCCGCATTTTTTGGATTCTTTCTTCATATTCTTCTTTCATTTTATCACCAAATTCACGTAATCTACTTCTATAACCTTCTTTAAGATCAGATATTTTTTCTTCGTACTTCCTTTTGATGTTATCAAGTGTTTGCTGGTAATCTTTCTTTACAATATTTTTAGACTCTAAACAATCTTCATACAATTTCTTGTAATCAGAAGTGTCAAAACTATCAATTACGGTTAAATTATCATCCGACTGACCATCATCATCATAGCTATCAATTATCTTGAGTTGATTATCTCCCTGTCCATCATCATCATAACTATCAACAACTCTTAACCCATCATCTCCCTGTTCGTCATCACCATAACTGTCAACAACCTTTAGACCCTCGTCACCCTGCCCGTCATATTTTTGAGGATCTGGGTTTGGTTTAATTTCATAATCTCTAGGTTTTTCTCTAGGTTGATCTTGTTTTGTTATAGGAGGGAGCATCTCACGTTTTTTTGGTTTTGGGTGTGGTAAATTATAGCTTCTAGGTCGTTTAGAAGATTTTGATCCATCATGAGAATGGTTAACCAACATTAGTTTTGGCTCAGGATGTGCTAAATGTTTGTGTTGATATAATGATGTGTTTGTTGGGTAAGATTTACCGCACTTATCGCATTGTAAACTCATTTTTAGAAACTAATAACAAATCGTGTATTTATAGGCAGAAAATAAACACAAAACCCATAATGAATTTGAAAACCCTGTATGAGGATCCCAGCTTCCCGGGATCTTTTAGTGGAAAAAATCGTTTTTACCAAGAACTTCGGAAAGGAGGACATCTTGTTAGTCCAAAAACTGTTACAGAAAAATTAAGAGCAATCGATAGCTACACACTACACAAACCAGAGAAAAAACCTACTTTATATCGTAGGATATGGTCAAAGGGAATCAATTACTTGTACCAATGTGATCTAGTTGATTTATCGAGTTTGCACAAACATAACAATGGTTACAAATGGATAATTACAATTATTGACACATTTAGCAAAAAAGCATGGGCTTTTAAAATGAAGAACAAATCAGCAAACTCTGTTGTAACAGTCATGAAACCCTTCTTACAACAAAACACACCTCAAAAGATGCAATTTGACCAGGGAACGGAATTTTACAACAAAAAGTTTTTAAATCTTCTAGAAAAATTAAAAATAAAACATTATAGTGTTTTTAGTGATAAAAAGGGAGCTATAGTTGAACGATTCAATAGAACTTTAAAAACACGGATGTTTAAGTATTTTACTTCTAAAGGTACTCACCGCTGGGTAGATGTGCTTCAAGATTTGGTTGATGGTTACAATAATAGCAAACACAGATCTATACAACACACTCCTAATAACGTTACAACGGCAAATGAAGCGGTGGTGAGAAAAATTTTGTTTCCAAAAGTGAAAAAAAAAAAGAAATTTACCAAAAAACATTTTAAAATTGGTGATAGTGTGAGAATAACAAGACAGAAAAGAACGTTTCAGAAGGGGTATGAACAATCGTGGAGTTATGAGGTGTTTGTCATTAGTGAAATCAAAAAGACTTATCCTATCACATACATGTTGAAGGACTATAAAGGGGAAGAAATCAAGGGTTCATTTTACACCAGTGAAATACAGTTGATTGATAAATCTAATGATATTTATCAAATTGAAAAAGTTCTCAATAAACGCAGCAGACGCGGTCAAACCGAGTATCTTGTTAAGTGGCAAGGATATCCAGACGAGGCGAACACTTGGATACCTCAATTCGATCTCTTTAATTTGTAATGCCTATTAAATTCCTTGCCTCTCACAATTGTATAATATTCGGACCGACAAGAGCCGGTAAAACTCAGTTCATATTAGAAGTTATTCGACAAAAACTAGTTCACCCATGGCCTAAGCGAATCTTTTACATGTACAAAATCGAACAGAGTTTCATGAAGACGTGGAATGAGATAGAGGTTGTGCCGATAACATTTATCAAGGGACTTGATTTTGATAAAATGGATACTTCTGAACCTAGCATGCTTATTGTTGATGATTTAATTCTCAGTGATAACAAAGAAATGGCAGAATGTTTCATTTTAGGCTCACATCACAAATCAATATCTACATTCTACATAACACAAAACCTATTCCCAAAATGTCCCTTGTTTAGACTCATGAGTTCTAACAGTCACTATTTTGTTCTCTTTAATAGTCAGCGTCATTTTAGACAAATTAACACATTGGCAAGACAGATGTTTTGTGGTGATGATTTGAGGCGTGTCACTAACGCCTTTAAAAGAACGTCAAAACAGGATAGAGGCTTCATTCTACTTAGTCTCGCACCAAGTTTACCACAGGAGCTAACTGTAACAACAGATTTTTGGGAATGGTTGCCAAGCGTTTATCTCTAAAGCAAGCAGATATGTTAAATAAACATAGATATATACTCGAGAAGTTAGCTACTAGTAATATGAAAAAACGTAAAATCATCTTGGAAAATTCACCTCCAGAACTTTTCAAAGTTCTTGGAATCGTATTCAATCTTTTGGCAAATAAGAAACTGGATTTAGATAACAAACAACATCAAACTTTGAAAAAACATAGACGTCTAATTCGATCAACGAGTGGT